TGTAACAATGATCGTGTCCGCTATGGTCCTCGATGACAAGATGCTCGTATTACTAACGGATAGAGCGAAATTGCACACCTTCTGCTGCAAGGTAGCATCGGTCCACGGGTTGTCGACGGTGTTCAGCTGGGCATACTGCAAGGACGAACAGCACGGTGCGCTTTTGGAAAGATCCCCAAAGTAGATGGACTTTGTTTGAAGCGTTGTCAGTTCTATATTTTGACCAAGACCGTGGAAGAAGATACAGGGGCGTGGGGTGGACTTACATTCACAAGATGAAGAGGCCAGTGTTGTTGTGGATGCAGCCTGCAAATTACGTCGTTTTGAAGACGGAATAGGCTGACCAGTCAGCAACGCGAGGGTCGTTTCCGACACTGAAAGGGGACTTACGACAGTTTCGCAAAACATTGCCGCTTCGTCGCTTAGTGTGGGCGCGATAATTTTGACTGGACTATCCAAATAGTCGACAACAATATCCAAGTCGCTACCATAGACGATAAAGCCATTCGAATCTAACGAGCAAATGACGAATGTTGAATCTCCAAGAGTAGCTTTCAATAGATTTCCACTGGCACACTTGATTGTGTCTTCGCCAGCGAAGGCATCCGAAAGCATGGTGGCATTATTTAGTGCCGGAATGATGCCATGTAGCGGAGGTAGCACGTTTGAAGGTAAGCAATGGGTAGTGGAGCTACCAACTGAACCTACAGTCGATATCACGGAGTAGGCAATTCCATTTACCAGCAAGTACGTGTAATCAGTGGTGCCGTCCATGAAGGCGGCGTAACCGTCATACATAATCGAGGTGTTGTCAGAGGACACGATTGGGTTGGCAAAGACGTAGAATTCGGATTGTCCGTAGATGCTCATGGAAGGCCTTTTGAGTGTGAATTGAAGTCGTAAAGATGGTGCGTTTGAAATTGTTGTAATTAAACGGTTCTGGGTGCTCTCGTTTTGGACGGTTGCAAACGCAGCAATATTGCCCACTGCAAGCGCGAGCAACATGGAGCAAGCCAAAGCGAGGAATGGATGCAGGAACTTGAACATCTTCATGTGCAAATAGTGAAAGTATCTATAAAGCTCACTTGCTGTTCAAGTGGAGAAATTAAAATTGAAACCTAAAAATGGGATGTCATATTGCTTAGCGCTTTGTCAATGAAGTTCTTGGTAGCGGATTGATCCGGCATGGTGGATGCACTATCGGTGAATCTATCTTCAATGCGTCGACAATCCGTCGAAGATGGCATGTCCAATACTTAATGGATACACATCCATCGTTGAACTTGTTACACATAGTACTCATGATTGCAATTTTCTATGATCTCAACGCGACAAGCATATGTTTTATATTGTTCTCTATACCATTAATGAGGTTCAACATATTAGTCAAGAATCGGACTTTACTTGCAGCGTTGAGAGATTGCTTTAACCTATTCATGGACAAGTGAATTACCTGTCTGATTTGTATGGATGCATGATTTGTAAGGTGCATAACACTTCGAAGTATCGAAGCGTAAAGGTTTTGGTCACACTTCCGTAGACATATGTGATGAAATGGTTCGTGTTTTTCAAGACCAACAACATATGGAGATACCATTTAATCTAAAGGCAATATAACAATAAGTTTTCACTTCAAATTTCAGGCAATATGAAATACTCATTTCGCTGCTCAGCTTTTAATTATTATAGATACCTAGATCGCAAATTTCTACCAGGAGACCGAATTGAGGAGTCGATTACTCATTTATTGCCCAGCATTTACTTGATAACAATTTCGCATTTATCTACCTGTAGAACGTATCTGTCACATGATCAAACTGATGAACGACTGTAGGGCCACCCAGCGATTGGCGGAAACCATCTGTATCTTGCCGTCTTTTCACTACTGGCGTGTTGGCAACTTAGCATCAAACAATTCCGCGATAATGTATCTTCAATGAAAGCAGTCCATCAACAGTTGTTTAAAGTGTCTTGCACACCCACGAAACAATGGCTGCTTTTCATTAGCAACTTCATTCAGTGCAACTCTATCGCACTGTTGTAAAATGTGGTTGATATTCAACGTTTTAAGCAAGGACCTCCCTCGTACAATGATAGAAAGGGAAGAAAAGCTGTATCATCAACGCTGACATCTTCGTGACCTACCAGATACAGCTCGCGCAGATACAAGCAAACAATAGCTCCAAGCTCTGACCATCGCAATAGCCAACTACCCGAACATGTCTACTCTGCATGAAATTAACTCAAAATACACATTGCTAATGCCTAGCAATTCCGCATCTGCGCATTCTTTCTGGTTCGGGTTGCTGTTATGAGTTTCCTTAATTAAAAGAATACTCCTGTCTTGCAAAATTGAGCAACATTTCATTATACACAGCACATTGTACCTTCGACGGGCGGATGTATTATTTATATTACGCATAAAAATGTTAAGAGAAAATATTTCGTGCTATTATGAATCCTATCACAGCGAAAGTGCATGTTTCGCCAGCGCATTTTACTAGCTATAATTCCGCGGCGACCGCTCCAGGTGTATGAGTCGCCACTTACGCTATCCCTACAGCTTAAAATCGCTATAAGCGTGTCTTATTGCTTTGATGTTTGAAAAATGAGCATTTATTATTCTGTCGTCATAAGGGTATAGTCATAATCAGTTAAGGTCGTTGGATATACGCCACTGTTACAAAGTGTAACGAGGTTAATACGTATTCTGCACAGAAAATAAATTATCATTTTAGAGGTCCCATTCACACACAAAAATCCCTGTTTAGAATGTAAAGTTCAAATCGGAGCTATACCTAATATATAGGGATAACAAAAGCAAAATTTAATGTTGCGCCTTGCGTGAAGCAGTTTTCTTTCTGGGATACAATCACTCCGATTTTGTACGAGTGTCAATATTACTACTTCATTATTGTATTTCACCGTGATACATGACCATGGTACTTCACCAGCATTGCGTCTCCTTGCATCAACGATCATGGAATATAACTCCGGCGTTTCTGAAGCGGCGTCAACGTTCGCATAAGCTATCAGAACGCCAACACGGAGTTAAGTCCGAGAATACATCTGACCTCGCACGTTACGCCGTGGCGTAACACAAATATAGCACGATTTTATGGTCACAGTCGGGCAAGCGCCCTCACATTGATTAACGTAATGAAATTATGATATAGTTTCAGTTCCAGGCCAAATATTTGCAAAAACCAAAGAAAAGTAGGTATTGATAGTATAGATTCACATAACACTTTTAAATAAAAAAAATCGTTAATGTCCAGACATTATTGTCGCGGATGCGGTAAATCCTTCATCAAGGTTGGCAACTGGTACGACTTTCGTGGACCGAGTCCGATCAGTTGCGGATCACAGCGAGACCGTCTGCGTCCGGGAACCAACCTTAAAAGGCAGCTATCTCTTTGAAAGGTGGACCTCATAGCACAAAAATGTCGGCTTTCAACATCAAAACCCCCGCCCTTGTAAGATCATGGTAAATCATGATACATTTCAAGTCATCTTACAATTACGTACAATGACCGTCCAAAATGTGGCCATGTAGCTCTCAGAATCGTAAAACTCTCGAATATTAATTCCTGCCTTCATGCATATTCAGAAGATTTAAAATAGAGTGTCATTTTAAGTCTTAAACTTAGATTCAAGATTAATTTCATCTTAGGAATTAAACTTCAATCCACGAACTGACTGAAAGTCAAAGACATTGGGCTGCACGCGTTGTGATGAGTCTTAAATTCATCTCTGCAGTATGTTTCGAATTCAAAGCTTTAGTAGCATCAATGGAGGACTTTTAAACTATCTGGTATTGTAGAACGATTTTGTTGATGTCCCTGAGCTAGGCACAGAGTGCATATGTGGCATCGAGCCACCATCACTGAATGAAACAGGAAGAAGCGATCGGATATCGCGGTCTCCAGATTGTGTTTGTAATGAGTCGGTTAATGAAGGCTGAAGTATGTTCTTCAAGATTTCGTGATAGAGTAAAGCATATTGTGTTGCAATCCATAGCGTCTAATCCAGTTCGAGTGGGCTATTGCTGCGGTGTCATTGGTAACACCCGATTGAACTAAGCGACTATCAGTAAATGGTGAAGATCCTGACACAAACGTCACTAGGATACTTAAGATGATACACTCTCGTCACGATGTAGCAGTACAAATGAGGTCGCGATAACATGTATAGTGCCTCTATTCGAACGGTAAAATCAGCGCGCTGGTTGTACAATGTTCATGTAATAGTAACAGGGGAACACAAGATGGCGTAAAGCTGTAGATGTATTGTACACGAACTGGTGTGACCACAAATGGTGTGGCTACACTTGAACAACGAATCACCTGGCTGGAACAGCCAGTAATTATTCATTAAATTAGATAGAAAAACCTATATAGATATAGGCGGCAGATGAAACCGAGAAATACAGTTTACATTTAAACGGGAGAGCTAATTAGCCTTGCATTACGGGTGTAGTTACTCTTGGAGTTAGCGGATTGCGATGCGCTACACTCGTACTGGTTCTAAGTATAGAGCTCAAGTCGCCGACCTCAATAAAGCGAAAGAGCTACGGCAGCCCCGCTGCAAAAAAACAGTGCATCCCCCCCTTACGATGAAGTGTCGTAGATGTGTGACGAGAGCCGCTGTACACTCACAAATGGTCTACACAAGGCAAAACCATTTTTAGTATCTCCTTGGGGATGATTACAGTTGATGACGGTAGTACCATTGTGAGTGGCATGTTTTGTAACAAAAAGGGACCAGATGTTGTCGCTCAACATAGATGGGTTCGTCATTAAGGCAGTTCATAGAGCACTGGGGGCAAAATGTGAAACAAAAATACGGCCTGTACAGGCCACACCCTTCTTCGCCAGAAGACACAATGGAATTCAAGTTTAGTCAATTTCATATATTTTCACAAATCGAAAGCTCAATGTTTGACTACTGAGCGTGGGGATTTTATGCAATACCTTTACCATGCAGAGCCTTCAGTTCTGAGCATTATCCGCTTTAGATGGCAACCTCCTGGTATTTCCGCTGATTCAAGGACCAGTCAAAAAGGCATAGCGTATACGGCCTATGCTTGATCTATGGAACATTCTTGGTGAAAAAGATGATATGCGTCTTGATGAAAGTGATCTCCAAGTCCGATCCACTATTTATGACCTGACTTCTTGACGTGCAGCTAAGCTAACCCTGAGAAAGAGGCGATCAAAGGCTCTACCTCAAATACTTGCGCAAATAAGTTCGATCTGTACAGCGGATAGTATTGCAACACCCTGCCGCAATAGCCACGACAGCATCTATCTCATCACCAATAGGCTAAATTAGGTCCATTGTGTCAAGCTTGACTGTCTCCAACGATAAAAGTCCCAATGACGTTTTCGTCTCCACCACGCCGTGAATACTGCTCAATCAGTCTAATGTTGCTCGTCACACCTAGATTGAGCCTTAATACGCCTATACATTTGAGCCTTTTGCTCAAGCAAAGTACTATTGATCGCTTTCGGACTCATCAGGTTAAAATTATCAGGAGTATCGCCTGTACTACAAGAAGCACTGTGCAATTAAATCCGTACTTTGTATAGGCTCTTTTTACTGGGCACTGAATGCTGGACAGAGTGCCGAGTGTATCGTACTCAATTGGAGTACTTTGAGTTCATTGCGTGCGGAATACACGACATCATTCCGATTAACGGTTTTTTTACCGGTCTATGATTTTGCCGCTGATAACTTTCAGACCCATTTCTTACTATAGCGTCTTCTAATGCTTCAATTTGTCTACGACAAAGGTCGACTTGGATGTCAAGGTGGAAGCACATCACCTCAGGTTCTTGCTGTCAACAGTCCTGATCATCTCCAACAGCTTGCTTGGACAGCGGCCGGCAAAGTCTCAAACTATAGCGCAGTTCAACTATGCTTTGATTGCTGAAAATGCATTGTGCTGGACAACACTGGCCGTTCTCCCTGTACGATAGATATGATGAGAAACGACACCCCTTTTTAGGAGTTGTGTAAGCCATGTCAAGCACGTGCTGTAGGGTTATATTCATTACACTCTAACCCGACTCTACCCGGCCCGGGGATTGAACCCTGGACCTCCCGGTCCTGAAGTGAGCGGAGTACCACTGCACCTCAGGATCGGTCTCCCTGTACGATAGAGAAGACACCATGTAGGCAACTGAACTGAAATAGCGTTTCAACTCCGATGAAATTTTACAGTCCCAGTAAGCTTGCTGGCTCACTATCAGTCCCTCATCAATGTAGGCTACCCCATGTTCTTTGAGCAGAGTTGCAAATGATTGCCCCCCGCGGCTGGATCTCGTAAGCTCATTCAGCTATGCCGACAATCGACTTCTACTTTGCGTGTCAGAGTGCAGCTTAACTGACGCGATCTATTTTGATGCGTTTCATGGGATCGCCATCGTATATATTACCTCAAGCAGTTCAAAACACTATCATTGCTTTCGAGAAGGTAGCTCAGCCACACGGCATGGTTGGAACGCTGTTTTGTCTTCAGCAGAGCCGTTATAATCCGATTGGATTATAAAAATTAGACCGTGGTATTGCGTTGACAAATAGACGTACTTCGTCCAATAGAATTGTATTCTCTGTTATGTATAAATTGTGTAGTACAATTTATTTCTGGTCCGAGTAGTGAGGACGCAATTTAGTCACTATTGGCCGCACGTGTGGGAAGAATCAAAGTGTTTGATGAACTATTTTCACACACATTATTTTGACAGACGTTCCGTCTGTCTTTTAATGTAAAAGTTTTATATATCCCAACTTCAGTCGTAGAGTTTCGCACTTGGCGGACGACACTCAGTATCTTTAAGATAAAATTTCTTGGCGATCTTCCCGGCAAGAAGTTATATCATATATTTATTTTCTACGCAATGCCGGGCTTATACCAACGGACGGAGTTTAACGAACTGCGTCCAGAGCCACTTCGTTGTGTTGTCAAAACACAGAAACATCCAAAGCATTTGTATCAACTTGGGTAAAGCCTGCAGAGGCATGTATCTAATATTTCAAGCAAAATGATGATTATGAGCCTTTTGCCTCCACATCTCAGATTCTTCGCTCCCACATTCTTGTCTGTGGATGATCAACGGTGAAATGCTCCCCTTGTACGAAGCGTCGTGCGTGAGGTCATTAAATCTATCTGCATAGCACCGGTCTCGATCTAGGCTAGTGGCCACCGGCAAGTTATGTTGGCAAAAGCATTTATTGAGGAATGGTTCTATATTCTAATCGGTGATCAGCGACTTAGCCATCTTGCTCAAACCTTTCACAAACACCACAACGCAGTTTTACAAAAACCTTTCATAAAAGATCAAAAATATAGTCTATGTTAATGAAACGGCTCCCAGTTTCTGCTTCGATTTGTCCTCTTCCTTGCCCGAATTGTCTTACTCTCCTATCTTATGCAAACTGACAACGACGAAGACGAGACGCTTGGTAGCTTGATCAAAATGCAATTTTGAAGATGTCATAGATCGGATAGCTTTTATATGAGCCAGGGATTCCATTATCAATCTTTTTGAAGATTGAAGAGACCTGTTTACTGTATCATCAGCAGCAACAATTAATACGTGCAGATACTTTGTAATCTATGAGTAAAAAGGTTCTGCACGGATGGCATCTGTACCCGGAGCCGTTTTTCTTGGTATATCATCTCTTCTATGGCGTCTGAAATATGTAGCAAGAATATGCAATAAATTGGCTTTCTGTTTTTCATGCATCGGTTAAGAGTTCTGGTTGTATTGTTGTTAAGGGTTCAATAGTTCAAAATGTACGGTCGTTTTATTAGTCCAGCAGAAAATGCCAGTAAAATAAAGACTCATAAACCATAAGTGGAAGAATCCGAACTAATGGGTAAGCCCATCGCGAACATGTTCCCATAGCATCGTGAATATACACTGCTTGCAGTAACGTAACTGAAACTTTTATCTCGTTGTGTCAGAGGCATATGCTGCACTTGTAGGTACTTGCCATGTACGGCCTCGGTCCAAGTCTTGAAGTGTCAGCCAACAACAACAACAAAAGAAACAGCTGTTCGTAAAAAGGCAAAGAAAAAGTATGATGATCTGTAGCGTAGATTTAAGAGTTGGCAAGCTGCACAGTTAGCACAACTGACAGATGCTAGATGCAGCTTTGCGCTCATCTAGCTATAGTAGCTTATGTATTTGGATCAATTATCTAATTACAACTGATGTTAGCAAGCTATTCACCCTAGCCGTACTCCATCAGGCGCCGTGCATCGCTAATTTGATTTGATACAACAAATGTCTTTCACGCAACGAAGTAGAGAGATGTATCCATTGTAAGCAGTGTCGTACAGTGCACATTCGTGTTATGGGATACCTTCTGTGATGGGCTCACCTAGTTGTATGAGATGCTTTTTTTAGCAATAGTCCAGCAGTCTTTAGTATACTAGCATTTTCTGTGAAGATTATGTTTATGCTTTTGAGCAACATTGAGCGTGTTCTCGGGCCGGATTTCTAAACAGCAATGCTGCCAAGACTAGAATGAACATGAGAACAAAAACCACTCTATTCATCACAACGTTAACACTAGAGTATTTATGTTATTTAGTACAGACGTTTCAACGCTTATTGGTATGTCACATGATCTGGCCCATAATACTGTGTCACTAACATTTGAAATTTGCTGGAGGCTGGAGTTCGAAGCCATGCCCTCTATCTGGAAATGTTTGAGCAAAACCGGATATCTATCGAAAACAGACAGTTTTCAAATTCATATGTGATTTGCACAAGTCGGAAGATCTTGCTGACAAAACACATCATTGACTTGGTTCTTCCAAAGACCCTACGAGGCTTGATATTATTCTCCAAGTTTACAAAAGTCACTTTTCAATTTTCCTTGTGCCAGTCAGCAAATCCAAAGCTTGGCAACTACCATATTACCGATCCATCACTGTCATGAACGCTCTCAAGTCTTTCCAGCGGAACTTCGCGTTTTCTAGTTTTGTGCTGCTCGCTCTTGCTGCTTGTACTATGACTGTGTCCGCAATCGAACAAAGTGGGACTACTCACCGCCGATTGACCGCAACACTCGCGGATGCACCATCCCTCAAAATTCACTTCACGCTCAAGCGATCTTCCATGAAAATTTTCGGACAGTCTCAATTTGACGTCTTTGCCAACCCTATCGTTTCTTCAGACAACACATCGGTAATCTACGACGGCTACGCAACATTCATAGATGGCACCACTGAGTACACGTATAAGCTAGTGAATGGTATCGTATATGTCATAACGTCTTCTGTGGGTGGCACAATTGCCCCCAGTGCACACTGCCTCCCATCCATCCTGCTACCACCTCTAAACGACATCATCCCAGCACTCAACAATGCCACTGCGGTCTCTAGTGCCGTTGTGGGATATGACACAATCACTTGTGGTACCGGGATTTTGTCTCAAGCTACCCTCGGTGGTGCGACGTTTGTCATTTGCTCGTCGGGGTCAAATGGCTTTACCGTTTATGGAAGTGACATAGATATTGCCGTCGAGTACTTAAATAATTCGGTCACCATTACTCCTCCTACGTTGAGCAACGACGAAGCGCTGTCCTGCGAAAGAGTCGTAACGCCTCATGCTGTCTCAGACACGACGTTAGCTTTGTTGACCGGACAAGCTGTTTATTCGTCAAACCGGCGTACATTAGAGATAGATTCAACCGCGATACTATCCTCTTCGTCTTGTGGGTGCAAATCGATTCGGCGTCCTTGTATCTTCTTTCACGGACTTGGTGAAAACATTGAAAAGGCCACACTGCAAACAGAATCTGAGCACTTTGGTGATATATCCGAAAGTGCACCATGCTGCTCGTCGATTCGCTATGCTCAGCTGAACACGGTCGACAACCCGTGGACCGATGCTACGCTACAGCAGAAGGTTTGCAACTTTTCCCTTTCCGTGAGCAATACGAGCAGCATGTCGTCAAGAATCATTGCAGACACAATTGTTGTCACGCACTCAATGGGTGGTCTCATGATGGCAGGCGCACTCGCGAACGGGCAATGCTCTTTCGCACCAAGCACAACGTGGGTGAGTCTGAGTGCACCGATGGGTGGAAGCATGAGTTCCGACTATCTCCAAAATGCGTGCAGCGGAAGCAGTGTGTTTCTTCAGGCTGTTGCCAATCTCATTGGCCGATGCCCAGTCAACCGTGCTACCTTGGAGCTTGCATATCAGGATGAGTCGCACAGCACTTCCGCTATGAACGCGGCGTATGTAGCAGCTCAATCTGCATTCCGTTCGAACGTCAAGGCTGTAATGTGCAGCGACAACTTTTCAGGCCTAATCTCTATGGATCAAGCTGACTATCAGATGAGGGGCACCTTCATTAACCACAAGTCAAAGGAAAATGACGGCAACGTGGAATTTACTAGCTGCGCCGGAGGGCTGCCCGCGTCCATGTTCGGTCAAACATACAGCGATACATTCTACCTGACTGGCCTCAATCATGCTGACACGGCATTCCTCCACGGGGATGGGCTTTTCCTTGACTCCCACAAACCGATCAAATGGTTCGAATGCTTGCTTTAAAGTTTTTTAGCCAGTTAGCTCAAATGATACACGTCCCATATTGCTTCTTTCTTGACATGTTTCCCAAACGTGCTTACCATACAGTTTATGATTGTCGTATCCTCGATACATCAGCTGAAAGCTTACCATAACAATAATAGATTTCACAAAAATGATTGGCTATGATCCTGAGCATATTGCCAATAGCCTTGCTTCCTTCCACACTCAGACAAAATCATGATGCTTGATCATTGGGTCCTTGCGTCACCTTAAGCAGCGCTACGGGTGTCACGAATTTCTGTGAGTTTTGCAAACTATTTGTCCCAACGGCGTAAATGGCGTTGTGTGGCTGAACAAGATGCAGAAGCTGTGCTTGCCCACAGGACATCCGTGGATTTAAATTCACCAGCTAGTTGTGCTCTTGTTTGACTTTAATGACAGGTGTGTTCCACACAGAAGCGATAGCTTTGAGGACCATGGCTGAGCCATAGAGTAAGTTTGCTGTATTTTTGACGCCCTCAGATACTGCAGAATTTTGAGCGTACGGCAAAATCACAATATCGTCGGATAGGGGACCAATATTCTCTTAAGCACTTTAATGAGGCAGATCAATTTTGTTCCCACCAACGTGCTGATAAACAGTTTCACTTCACGCCGAGTTCGCTCGATCAAGACCTCGGTCGAAAGTAATACATAGTTGTTGATTAGGTCAACCCAGAACTGCCAGAGTTGCTTCTCGAAGAAAGACTGCAATCAAGTTTATACGACGTTAGGATGCGTGAGCTAATGCTGATGCAGACTATCACCTCGTGTTCCATGCGTTGGATATTTTAAGATCGATTGGTCCTTTTCTAGCAACGTGATTTTGATCCCTCCACGTTTCTTTTTTTACGATTACAAAACAACTATAATTATCAAAGCACCCCACGTTTTCTAGCCTGTCTACTTCCGCGAGTTTTATCCTTTGGAGGGCTTTCACCGAGAAAAGTCGTAGGATGTGATTGTTGAGGTGTTATGTTCCACTTCTCATTACTGTGTGCAATTCACGATGGCACTTTGCATGTTCAAGTGAAATCTTCTCGAAGATCAGGATTACAAGGTATTCTAGAAATACGTTAGTGGTTCGGAAATTTTTTTTCTTAAATCTGCCCCGCAATTAACAAGTCTCTCTTTAGAGTAATGAGCCCCACATTCCAGGCCCGACGAGTTGATAATAACTGCCAGCAAGTTCGAGTCGGAGTTCAACGCACGAATGGCGCCAAGTGGGAGATACTTGTAAGTACACCTTTATGAAATGAAGCCAGAAGCCACAGCGCGCTGTGGGACGGACGATCGATCAGCCGCAGACATCAAGTCGCGATTTATTTTGGCTCAAATGCTGAGTCCTATCTTCCTACGAATGATTTGAGAATCATCTGCTTTATTTCGCAAAAAAAACGCTGTGTGCGTTGTTCGTGAAGCAGTCGCTCAACAGTCACAAGCAGTTGAGAAACGATCTGAGTTGATGACTCTATCGAGAACGAATCTTGCCAGGTAATAGATCTTTCCGGAAAAAAAAAAGCCGAAGTGGATCCGCCATGTATCGAGAACATCCAGTTTCGCTAGTCACTCAAGACAGCTGAATCGGCTCGGGTCAAAATCCAAGTTATGATGCCACGCGTCGAGTCGAAGGTCGAGAAGAGTGTTGAGGTCGCTCAACACTAAGTGCGTCGCTTGAACCTCGAGCCTTTATTTTCAAGATTCTCGAAAAGTATTGCTTTTCCGTTGATACACGGTCATATACACATTGTGAATGTAGATGGGAGCCCCCTCGACAATCACCTTCACAACAAGGTAGCAACCTGTGACCGACAGTTGTGGGAGTTCAATCGCCGAGTCGGATCAGGGATATCAGAGCGAAGCGCCGTGAGCTCTCAACCGCTTGAAACTCTCGTGGGTCAATCCAACAGAGAATTTGGGTCGTTCACAAAGCCTTTGTGCTCAAAGTTCGAGCTAAGGTGAGCTTGATTGTTGTGTAGTGTGTGCTGTCTTCGAACTTAGTGTCTTGGACGCACGACGCCTTGTACTTGGAATACAAGCTCTCAATAAATAGATGACTATTCTTTTTGATGCCATTCGTTTCCACGGTGAGGACACTAAAAGTTGCTCCATGTCATGGTGGACAATACGGATGGTTTAGCAAAGAATTGCCAAGCCGCCCGCGAGCATCACCACCCCGTCATCCACGTCTTGGAGCTGCATTACCGACGAGTCATCAGGGTAGTACCCATCGAGTTTGAGCAGCGCTTCGAGGTCGTCGAGCAAGTGACCCTGCCATTAAAACTCACTTCATTGTTGTGTGCGGTGTATACCGAGGTCCAACCGTAGCAGACGAAGGATAGTCTTGGGAAGCAGCAATCACGTGTTGTGCGCGGGCATCCACTCGACCGGCTGACCCGCAAAATACCAAATCCAATGATCTTTAACAAAGATCATTGGTGCAATAAACATTAATGCCAGCCTAAAAATCTTAAAGCCTTCGTCGCTCGGGTCAGCTCTTTGATCAATTCAGACCTGTTTCTTCACTTGGCGCTTGTCTTAAAGACGTTCAGGCGCTTGGATGGAATTCCCACTTGGTAGCGAAAGAGAAGTCTTTACCCGCCCGCATCGCTGATAACGCACCATTGATTATGTGCAACTACATGAACCATTCACGAAGAAGACGAGCGGACACTCGATCTCCTATTTCGTGATGTGGTCGACGTTTGCGACTATCTCGAGCGGCTTACACACTCTGTCGCCTTCTTGTTTGCTTGCGCGATACGGTCAGGGAGGGTATTGAGAAGCGCCGTGTTTTCCCCGCCGAGCATCGATTCAGTCACTTCCATGACTGGAGATGCCGTGGATGCCTTCTTCATCTTCGTGTAGTGCTTCTCCACAAAGGAGAGGACTCGGTTGATGACTTCACAGTGCAGGACGCTTCACATTATAGGGATGATCTGGCCACGCACACCGTACTTTTTATCGGATGTCACGTCTCTCGGTTCGAACGAGGCCGACATCAGCTGAAACGCATGGAAGTTGTTCCCGGTTGTGATGCCATCCAGTGGCATGGTAATGCTGAGCTCCACTCAATGGCTACTATCCCGTTTTTTTAGATCCTCGAGAGCCTTCTGGGGCAAGGTTTGCTATGGTGGAGTTTTGCTGCTCGCGCGTACGAACTCGGAGACATTTGTTGAAGCTGCTGCAGCCTTGAAGCAGAATCACTGGGACATGATAGTCGAGGAAACTCGTCGTCGATCGTCCCAAGGTCGATTCCGTGGTATGAGCTGTAGCCGAATGGCCGACGTTCCGATTGAAACGGAGCGTTCTTGTCATGCGCCGGATGGAACTTGTTATCGAACAGAATATGGTCGCACAGTGACCCATTTACCATCAACGCGCTTTGCGCTCACTGCAAATACTGCGGCATCGCTGCAGAAGCGTTTTTTCGGTCCAACAACTAACCAACCTGGTCACAGTAAAAATACTTGCCTTTTAAACCATTGTCATCGCGTGAAGCGCCACCATTTTGTATGTTGCCTCGACCACCTCTGAATCTTCCAGCATTCCCATTCACGCGAAACGCTTTCTCGTAGCCTCCTTTCTGTGCGTCTTCTCTGATTCTATAGCTCTTCAAAAGATTTTGCATAAGTCACTATGCTAGTATCACTTCCTATCTCAAAGTCGCGTCATCACCACGTAATTTTGTGGTGCCAAGCGATCGAAAAATCTGACTGAGTGCAATTGAACTATATTGGATCCAGTTTATGTATTCAGAAATCAGACTACTTGTTCTCAAATACCAAGGCAACAACCAAGATAGAAAGACTTCGAGCGAAAAAACAGCAGAAATCAGGCTGCAGTAGCTCTTTGCTTAGAAGAAGGTAAGCTAAGGTCACCGACCTTTACTCTTTTACAAGAACAAGTACGAGTGTAGTAGATCGCAATTCGCTACCTCCAAGTGTACTTAAAAACTTAAACCAACGTAAAGACGCTCTACCGTTCAAAATTGAAACTATATTTAATTGTTAATTGCGGCAGAGCCGCCAATATCTTACACCTTAGCTTTACCTGATTAACATATTAATACCTAATTTATATAGTTACCCTAATTTATATGCATAACTACTGGCAGTCCTGCCACGTACTGGCTTCTTATTACTGTCTATTCACACCATTATACCAACTTGTGTAATATACACATATATACGGTCTAACCATCATGTGTGACCCACCCTTTGAATATTCACAATTCACGTTTAACGGTCGCATCATACGAGGCACTCGTGTCTGAGATACTGTAACGTTCTTATAAACATTCTGAACATTCTCCGATTAATGAGACCTGTATCTATGACACGCAAATTACCAAGCCTAGTTGGTTTCGAGGGCGCCCGCAGGCAAAGTCCTTCTTCTTCTACTTCTGCATGGGGTGCATCTTCGGACAGTACGTCCGCAGCTTCACAAGAAGCACATCTTCAGCCCTCGGCAACCGATCGCCACAAACCGCGTTCGCCGCGTGCAACGGGGCTCCTCGTTGGGGACTCGGAGCAAGCCGACTACGAGTCGGATACCTTTTTCCCGGCATTGAAAGACTGGGAGGGTGAGGTGCGCCAACAAGGCGACGTGAGCCCAGCTCAAACCTTGCGGACGAAGTGTCCGTTCCCCGAACTCTCGACATCCGAGGGAAGTGTCATTACTACCAATCGCCTCGACGAGGCACATGAGCAGGAGCAGTAATTGGAGGCTGACCACAGGGCAGCTCTCATTGCGCTCGTATCTACGTTCAGTCTTAGACCCTTGCGTGAAGAACGGCTTCCGCTCAGCGTGTTCCGAACCTTAAGCGAAGGACGGGATCATTCGAGCTTTGGGCGTCTACGTGGTTGGGCCCCCGGCCACTACATCAGCAGAGCTCGACCAACGAAAAGCTCTCCGAGCTCGCTTTTCGATATTCCATGAGATCCCGATGGATTGGAACCGCGCTCGACCTCTAGCTCAAAGAGGAGGCACTCCTGTGCCCGCAATGCGGGCTATTCCTGTGGTGCTCGCCCCTGGCGAAACCGTTGCAGGTGACGATGAGTACTTTGAGCGATGGGTGCAGCGGCATCGGGAACGTTCCTCGCTATTTACCTTACAGCGGAGCCACAAAGGAGTGAACATTGAGCGCCATCTTTGATTTGAGTTTGACAAACTCAAGGCACGTCGCCGTCTTCCTTTTGATTCTCGCCCCGAATCATATGGAATAATCCCAATCATGCTTCCGCGAGCTCTGTATTTTCTCACACGGGTGAGTCTACGACCACAGCAGCTCAGGGCCATAGGTTGAGGTCAGCCTATGGCCGCTCGGCTTCCCGGGCTATCGCCGAGAAGCGCGGGGCTTACGGCGACGCGGATCGCCATGATACTCCTAATCCTAAGCGTCCACGATGTCTGGGTAGTCTTTCTAAAGTGGCACCTCAGACTCCGACGAGTTATCGGAGTATGGGTACCCAGCCACTTCATAAGTTATTGGGTTTGACCCTGTTGAAGAAGTCAGCACAAAATGCGTTCCACGTGATAATGGACGCAACCATTTATATCGAGAACCGTCGACAGCAGACGATGACGACTTGGTCGATCGTCGTCTGGTGACTCACGATGCTCTTCGAGCTTGGAGGACAAAGTCTGTCTTCATCGGCATTCCGTCGAGCATCTATCCGAGGTCGTCTACCGCTGTGCGAAAGACCCCAAGAGCCTGGAGCACTTTGTGCATCAACTGCCTCACGTTAATGATTATCACGCTCTTTTGGTGCGGATC